ACGCGGTCAAATATAAGTTTAAGGAATTACCCCAGTCGCGGATCATACTTGCGACGCGGTTATACATAGATTTCTTAAGTTATTAAAGTATTCCTCGATTCTTTTTAAATTACGAATTTCAAATGAAAACTTTTAAGTTCCCAACTTTTCCTCAATTTCAACTCCTTTCAAAAATATTTAATAAGCTAACTCAATCTCGCTTCTTTTCAAGGAAAACAATAAACATAAATCAACAACAATATCAACAAGGCATGATGTAAGCCTAAAACTATCTGGACATAGGCATAGCTAGTAACAACGTACGAACTCTCGTCATCTCGTGCGTACGTAGCCCCCACAAATAGAAGCACATAATAATTTAGTTCACCTATGGGGTTAATTCCCTCTTACAAAGTTAGAAAGGAGACTTACCTCGCTCTGAAGTTCCATAACCGGCTCCCAAGCCCTTCCGACGAGTCAAATCGATGCCCAACGCTCCAAAACTAGTCAATAAATATGCAAACCCATTAATATATACTCAAATACCCATTATAATCCTATTTACAATAATTTCCAACTCCGCTTGAAAAGTCGATAAAATCATCCTCGGGCCCACGTGCCTGAATTTCGAAAATTTTCGAAGATAAACTTTACTCATAACACCACGAACTCAAATATATAATTTATTCCAAGTTCCATGTCCAATTTCGTGGTAAAAATCCAAAAATATAAATTTCTAGGTTTTTCTTCAAAACCCTAAATTTTCACTAATTTCCCATGATTTTCCATGTTAAAATCTAGATATAATCCAAGTAATTAACTTGCAATAGGTGGGAATCACTTACCTTGACATGATGATGAAGATGGAGCTCCAAAATCGCTCCTAGGTCATCTCCCATGGAGGAAATGAGATGAAATGATCCAAACTCATTTTTCCAAACTTATACACTGCCAGGCAACCCTTCTTCGCGTTCGCGGGCCTCCCATCGCATTCGCGATGAACAAAATTCTCGAAAATCATTCCCAAACTCTTCTCAGACAACCTCTAGTATAATGGTCATAACTCTTTTTACAAAACTCCAAATGACAAATGGTTTAACTTATGAAAACTAGAGACCAAGATCTACAACTTTCATGTTTTGGTCATCTCCCAATTCCTTATAGATTTCGATATATAAGCCGTCAAAGTCAGCCCTGTACAACACAAATTTCTTCTTCATCTTCCCGGACAGCCTGTAGTGTACCAGCCATTACTTTTTGTACACAAATCCAAATGCTAAATGGTTTACTTTTCTGAAAACTAGACACAAAGGGCTAGAACTTTCATTTTGGATAATCACCAAATTCCTTATAGATTGCGAGATATGAGCCTCCGAATTTAGACCTGTGCAACAGAGATTTCATTCTTCGCGAACGCAAGGATCTCTTTGCGAATGCGAAGAACAAAGTCCCTGAAGCCAAATCCTTCTTCGCGAACGCGAGAGGATCCTCGAACGCGAAGAACAATGCCAGACACCAGCATTAGTTATTGCAAAACAACTCGAAATGATCCGAAACCACCCCGAAACACACCCGAGGCCCCCCGGGCCCTGTCCAATCACAAAAACCAGTCCCATAACATAAGACGGACCTACTCGAGGCCTCAAATCACATCAAACAACATCGAAATCATGAATCGCACCCCAATTCAAGCTTAATGAACTTTAGAACTTCTACATTCCATATCGAAACCTATCAAATCACGTCTGATTGACCTCAAACTTTGCATACAAGTCACATTCGACATTACAAACCTACTCCAACTTCAGGAATTGTAATCCGACCCCGATATCAAAAAGTCCACTTCCGGTCAAAATGACCTACCGACCTCCGAATCCACTTCTGGACGCGCTCCCAATACCAGAATCACCATACGGAGCTATTACCAGACTGAAATCCCAACGAACATCGATAGCATTGAAATGCAATGCAACCCAAATTTATGAAATTCTTCCAAATTGCCAACTTCCACAATAGGCGCCGAAACGCTCACGGGTCATCCAAAACCCGATTCGGACATATGCCCAAGTCCAAAATCATCATATGAGCCTGTTGGAACCTTCAAATCCCGATTCTGAGGTCGTTTACTCAAAAATCTAACCTTAGTCAATTCTTTTAACTTAAAGCTTCCGAAATGAGAATTTTCTTTTCAAATCAACTCCGAACTTCCCAAAATTCAATTCCGAGCATGCTTGCAAGTCATAATGCCTGAAGTGAAGCTACTCATAGCCTCAAACTACCGAACAACGCGCTAGAGCTCAAAACGACCGGTCGGGTCGTTACATATACAAATTTACCAATTATATACATTTTAGGAATTAAATGAGTATCCCTTTATATTAGGAATCAATTATTTCTCATCCTTATTCTCTCTCCCTCATGAGCTCTCTCTCTCTCTCTCTCTCTCTCTCTCTCTCTCTCTCTCTCTCTCTCTCTCTCTCTCTCTCTCTCTCTCTCTCTCTCTCTCTACGTCTCTCTTTATCTCTCAGTTCCTAATTCCAGTATTGTAGAGCAAAGGAAAAGAGAGCAGCAATTCCACCATTGACAGCAATTAAAAAGCTTTGAAGCTTTGAATTCGAATTTGGATTTTCAAAAAACATTATTTGTTTGAATTGGGTGTTGTTGCAAACAACTGGAAATTCTCTCTATGTTTCTCTCTATCTCCCAATCCATAATTTCAGTAATGTAAAGCAAAGGAAAAGAGAGCAGCAATTCCACTATTGACAGCCATTAAAAAGCTTTGAAGCTTTGAATTCGAATTTGGATTTTCAAAAACCATTATTTGTTTGGATTGAGTGTTGTTGCAAATAATTGGGAATATGGTTTGGAGTTTATATCTCAATATTGAGGGTGTTTTGGTGAAGATTAGACTTGATTTTGGCTTAATTTCAGATTGAAAGAAGAAGAAGAAGAAGAAGAAGAAGAGATTGGGAATATGGTTTGGAGTTTATATCTCAATATTGAGGGTGTTTTGGTGAAGATTAGACTTGATTTTGGCTTAATTTCAGATTGAAAGAAGAAGAAGAAGAAGAAGAAGAAGAGGAAGAAGAAGAAGAAGAAGAAGAAGAAGAAGAAGAAGAAGAAGAAGAAGAAGACATACATTATACTTACCAAATTGTAGTAAAGTTGTAGTAAAATTGTAGAAAAATTATATTCTGTTGTTTATATATATTTTTTTATTTAACTATTATATATATATATGTTATTTAACTATTGTATGAAAGTTGAACAATATTGTGTAAAAATTATATTTAAGTTGTATGATATTGTAGTTGTATATAACTGAGTAGAAATAATGTATGAAAATTGTAGATAAGTTGTATATAAGTTGTAGATAAGTTGTATAATATATAATTAGTTGTATGAAATTTATTTTTACTATGTATAAATCATATACAAAATATACAAAAGACATATTGTATAAAAATTATACAAACTTCTTGTTATTCCAAATTGAGCAACAACCAAACCACAGCTTCTACTGGGTAAGAACTTGAAGATTGTCGGAAAGGAATTAATCAGGTGGTGGGAGGGGAACAGGATTTGGTGTTCGTTCACATACTGACTTCCCTGACCGGAATACTCTTTGTCATTGCACTTCTCAATTCTTACAAGTACCACGATTCTCTTTCTCGTTGCTAATTTAACATGCAAGTAATTAAGCTTTTATATTATCTTATATTGACATGTGTGACACAAAGGAATAAGATTGCTCCTCAATATTTTATATATTTCGCTACTTTGCTTATTGAGGAAGCTTTTTACTTGTAACCAGGCATTTCTGGAGGAATGGATAGCTACTCGTACTTCCAGGGAGAAGCATCCTGCCCAAGTTTCAAATGCTTTTGGGAAATACGTTATTATTCAAAGCACTCCGTTTACTCGAGATATGGGACAAAGAGAGAACATGGAGAGAAGAGGGGCGAGAGGAGAGAAAAAAGGAAAATGGTGTAACTAAATCTCTTGATTGAAGACACAATATTGGATTAGGAGTCTTTTAAGGAGGATTGTATATATTTTGTAAACAAAACTTGTTTATGCCGAGTAATTAACTAAATATGAACATTTAGGGTAATAAATTTTCCAATAGTGTATATGTATGGAAAAATCTCAAGCAGAAATCATAAGTCATGGATCATTGCTTGGCCCATTTTCTTTTTAATTTGTTATATTTTATCTACTCTTTTTGCTTTGGGTCCAGCCAAATAATTCGGTTTCTTTCCTGAATGGAAGTTTCTCCTACAATAATCTGGACTATTGAATACTATTTCAAACATGATTCAATACTTTTCAAGAGAATACTTATTTTGATTCTCGAGAAGAATGTGAAATTATTTATTAAAGCGGGGACAAAGGGTAAAAATTTATTCTCACCTATTATTTACATCAATTCAATAATACATGACACATATCTTCATATACACTCTCCCCACTAAACTGTAGTTAAGCAATCATATTATCACCTTAATTTATGACTTAACCGGTAAAATTGTATAGTTTGTATAACCAAGGTTAGCAATAAGCATAAACATATATATATATATATATATATATATATATATATATATATATATATAAAAGACTTTTCCGAGGTGGAAACTATTGACAATTCTAAGCACATAAAATTAGAAAACGATCAAGATTTTATTGAATCTTATTAATTAAAAAACACATGAAAAGTTTCGACTCCTCTTACTTTTTGACCTTTACAATTCGAACCTCCTGAGTATCTCTAGCAATTAGCTTTAATACTTGTCCAATTTTCATTAGCTAAATTTCCTTCATATCTAATTATCATACTGTCACAACGAACTTTCCACAGTCATTAACGTGTCCAACTTGTACAAAAAAAAGAAGACTTTTCTTGGTCGTAATGGGAGGTGTATCTTGATTTTTTTGTGTACATTGACTATATCAGCTGTGGAACACCGTGTTCATTTGAATTCAGTATTCAATGTTTTCGCTACGGATGGAATAAAATCCATAATTTTATAAGTACAATGTGTTTTGTGTGAAAAACCTTAAAAGTAAAACTCATAGACTTAAAATTCTTGATGCACATATATATGCACATATATAACCAACCCTCTTGAATTTGTTTTCCCTCTATAGTCTTGTTGTCTCCAAACGAATGACAATGGCTTTAATCTCTTCGATTCTACAAAATGCCAAGTCGCGCGTATCTCTTTCTTCCTCTAACGTGTCTAGAGTTGGAGTGATCAGATCCATGTCTGTTTCAACTGTAAATGCTAAAGCTGATGATAGAAAAGAAGATATTGTAATAGTTGGTGCTGGAATTGCTGGCCTTGCTTCTGCTGTTTCACTTCAGAGGTTCAATTCAACAACTTTAATTTGCATTTAAATGATTGTTCTTTTCACAAAAATGAAATTTAATGATTGTGTGAGTTGTTGATATTTTTTAGGCTTGGTATTAGAAGCGTGGTGCTTGAGCAAGCTGAGTCATTGAGAACTGAAGGAAGCTCAATAACACTTTCTAAAAATGGATGGAAAGCACTTGATGCTATTGGAGTTGGTGATGAAATTAGGAGTCAGTTTCTTGAAATTCAAGGGTATGTTCCTACAACTGTTCTGTTTTAGCCAAAATAATTGCTAATTTTGGTTAAATATATCGAGCATTGGCTCTTCCCCGGACCCCACGCATAGCGGCAGCTTAATGTATTCCTTTAATATGGAGCATTGGCTGATAGCTTGCTGTGATAGATGTAGGTGTAATACTAATTGCTTTCAACTCAAACTCTATATATAGGTGGAAATTTTTGAAACAAATATTTTAGTAAGTCTGCACAGATTGGAGTCTATTGTCACAAAAGCTACACTTAACTTTAAATCCTAAATCTGTCTCTTCTGCCAGAGGCTTAGGGATCCAATGTAATAGAACTATGTTCAAAGTAAATAATTAAGCTTAATAAAATGAAAGAAAATTATTAGAACATGTAATAATGTGAATCATTTTGATCAGCACACAAACTTTGTATTACTCAATTGGGCAGTTCGGTGCACTAAGCTCCTGCTATGCACGGGGTCCGGGGAAGGGCTGGACCGCAAGGGTCTATTGTAAGCAATCTTACCCTATATTTCTACAAGAGGTTGTTTCCACGGCTCGAACTTGTGAGCTCCTGGTCACATGGCAACAACTTTACCAGTTACGCCAAGGCTCCCCTTACTTTGTATCACTCAATTAACCAGTATTAAGCATGAAAAAATTAAGGCAAAAGGTAATCTGCTTTTCATTGTTGATGTCATCTGCTTTGCAGGATAGTAATAAAATCAGATGATGGAAAGGAGTTGAACGCCTTCGGGTTCAAAGATGAGGACAAAAGGTAATACTACGTGATGGTTCTTTTCCAATTGATGTGTTTTTCAATGGTAATTTACGATACTAACTCTTAATCTTCTTCTTCTGCTGCAACAGCCAAGAACTGCGGGTCGTAGAGAGGAGAGTCTTACTTGAAAAACTAGCCAGTAAGCTACCACCAGATGCTATTTCTTTTTCCTCAAAGTTGGCAAAGATTGAAACAAGTGAAAATGGTAGTACTACCTTATTGCAACTTGAAGATGGAACTCGATTGTCTGCTGAGGTAAATCTGCATGCTATTATTGCATAGACATTCTTTTTCACGGACTAAGCACATGAAAAAAAATTATTATAATGAGTAGCAGTTATACTTGAACTCAGGATCTTTGTCTGCTCTAATATCGATACTGAATTGTGTGACTATCTTATCTAAAAGCTTAAATCGTACACTTTTATATACTACTTAATTTATATCATTAGCACTATCCATAGGTGGTGATCGCTTGTGATGGCGTCTGGTCACCAACAGCTAGGTGGATGGGATTTCGAGAGCCTAAGTATGCAGGGCATATTGCATTCCGAGGCCTAGGATATTTCCCTGAAGGACAGCCATATGAACCAAAAGTAAACTACATCTATGGAAGAGGATTACGTGCTGGATATGTTCCTGCTTCTAAAACCAAGGTCTATTGGTTTGTCATATGCAACAGCTCATCTCCAGGTATATACTCCAGAAAATCTACTATCGGTTCTAGTTCTTCATCTCTCCATTAATCTTAAGGTACTTCTTTTTGGATCATATTTATGTTAACCGACTAAAATGTTATAATCAGATTGCGTAGATAGGAGAATCATGGTAGCCTAGGTAGCCTAGTTGGTTGGCTACCTGAACTTTCTACCCTGTTGGTGGAGGTTCGATAGTATTAATAGCGGAAATCGAAGACAACTACCTGTCAACCCACCACCTTAATCATCGACCTCCACACCTTCCTATCGCGAGTCATGTCACTCACTTCCATTACCTTATTGCATTACTGCTGATATTGCCTGTTGCTTTATTTTTACCGTTTCTTAAGCCGAGGGTCTATCACAAACAGCCTCTCTGCCTTAATAGGGTAGGGTAAGGCTGCGTACAACACTACCCTCCCCAGACCCCACGTATGGGATTAAGCTGGATTTTATGTTGTTCTTGTACACCTCAATTAAAGCTATGACCTATTGGTAACTGGACATCTGTGCAAAATGTGCCTATTAAAGTGACAATCAATTGAACAGGTCGGACGTGTGAATTTCAATTTCAGCACTCATTATTCCACCACTGTGCCAAAAGAATCAGGAGTAAATATGCCTCATGTGCATATGATAGGCTTCCAGTTTATGCTCTATTAAGTGTGGGGTTGTTGTTCCATGTTATTGACAGCAAATGTTTCCCATGTGACATCAGTTGTTAATCAAACTAGAGTTAAACCAGATTGACAAGTTGGCCAGCACAATTCTGTTAACACCTCTCCAACTTTTGCATCTTTTTGGCAGGTCCAAGGATCACAGATCCATCTATTTTGAGACAGCAAGCTAAAGAGCTCGTTAGAGATTGGCCAGTCGCGGACATGTTAACCCTGATTAATTGTACTGCAGACGACACATTAACAAGAAATCCCCTTTATGACCGATGGCTTTGGCCCTTAGTAAGTCCTCCGCCTTCTATTGGAAGAACTGTGCTCGTTGGAGATGCATGGCATCCAATGACACCAAACATGGGTCAAGGTGCTTGTTGTGCATTGGAGGATTCTATAGTTTTGACAGAAAAGCTAGCAGAAGCAATGAAGTCTAAACATATTTCTGTGGAGGATGCATTCAAGGCATATGGAAGTGAAAGATGGCGCCGTGTCTTCCCATTAACAGTAATGGCAAATCGCGTTGGAGCATTGCTGCAGTCTGAGAATAAACTGATATGTTCTGTTAGAAATAATTTCATTGTGCCTAAGCTGCTTAAGCCCAGAACATTGACGAGACATGCCAACTATGAATTCGAGCAAACTAAAAGAAACAAACATTAGTTTTATAGGAAGAAATACTTAGCAATAGCTTACCAATAAAAGTTTCCCCAAAGTATAGTAGGCAGAGTGTATTGAAGTAGAATCCTGTTTTGTAATTCATTCTTCATATCAAGAAACTTGCTAATAGCTGTACTTATGCTTCTGTATCAGAAATCAGAATATACTTCAGCATTACAAAAGGGGGAAACCATTCACTATAACACTTTCTTTTATCGCTACACTTTGGGACAATTGTTAATTTTTTTCCAAAATGCCAGCGGGATGTCACCTATATATATGTCGTATACAGTTCACTAATTTAACATAAGAATCATGATTGATGATGTCTATTCTAGATGAGCAACGGAGCTTCATTCTTTTCATCCTTCAGCTTCGTTATTTTCTTGACCTATGTACTTATCAGTTGGATCGATGTCCTCTGATTCCAGCTTCGATGTGAAACTGCTCTTTGAACTGCCTCCGTTGATTTCAGCTCGAGTTACAGAAGTGTTGACTCTGGCAACAATTGAATCAGCTTTATTCACCATAGCAACTGCTGTGCAGGATAGAAATATGTCTTAACAGCAAATTGATAGTCATAAGCGATTTTTCTCATTCAGAATAATGGTGGCATAGATAAAACATTAAGGGGTCGTTTGGTATGAGGTATAAGAAGGTATAAGGGTGGTATAAAAATTTAATACCACTTTAATACTCTGTTTGGTTAGCAAACCAGGTATAAGTTATCCCGGTGTTAATTTTAACACTGGGATAACTTATACCTTATAGAAGGTGGGGTAATTAGCACTAGTATAACTTATACCTTCTTCTTAGAAATTATGCAATTGTCATTTTTAATACAACATACCAAACAATGAATAAACAACAATATCAGCATAACTTATCCCAATATAACTTATACCGGCATAACTTATACCGATATAAATCATATTCCAACCGAACGACCCCTAACATTTTAAGGTCCAACAAAAATGAGTAAAAATGGGGATAAATCAACTAGAAGTACACAATACAAAGCAAAGAACAGTAAGAGGAAACAGTCAATTGTGTTGCCTCAGAACCAAAACACAAAAACCAAACAACAACAACAACAACAACAAAAACGACCCACTAAAATTCCACTAGTGGGATCTGGGGAGGGTAGTATGTACGGAGACCTTACCCCTATCCCGAGGGAAAAACCAAACAACAAATATTTGGGAATTGTCTAATGTACCTCAGAGCTAGAGACCACATTATATAACAGCAGAATAATCTAGACAGATGGACTATGACCTACATCACAAACTGGTATGTTGACAGAAAGTTATTTCTGGAAAATTTTCGAACAACTCTGTCTTGATAGTTCAATGGCAAATCTCTTAACTAAAAAATGTATGGATATGATGATTGTTGATCTGTTGCACAGCTAGTTATCAATTTCTATATGTATGATCATTTTGAGTGAATTCCATGATCATTTACCGGCTATACAAAAAATTACGAGCGGCCAATATTGCCTATTGATGAAATACTCCTGTTAACACATTACACATTAACAAGCAGAAAGCTGGAATCTAGTCAAATGTTCAATGTGTGTGTG